CGTGAGGCCATATCTAGCATTAGAGACTGGGCTTGCGTCGTGGGGGGCCTGTGGGTGGCTTCAAGTTAAATCCTGCAGCCGACGTCCCGCGAAATTTCTGATGATGCGCTCTCGCGCGACGTGAGAAGCATTTCGAACAATATAGCAATATTCCACCGCAGGAGTTACATGAACGACACAATGCAATCTCGCATTTTGTCTTTCGATAAACTGCTGAATATCAGCACTCCGCCCAGGCCACAGGCCTGGCAAGCTTGGCGCTTTCAAACATCATTCCGGCCCATAAAATAAATACAATTACGCAAGTGGCAGTCTGCAATCGACTTTATCGCTGTATTCAACCGCTATAAAATTTCATTTTAACAAACTGCGCCAGCGGCCACACCATCTTTCTCACTAGCATTTAAACAATGTCGGCGGAGCCCCCACTTCCCCGAATCACCCCCCAGGGCAAGACGGCGCAAAACCCACTCACACACTCCCCGCTTTCGGCGCCTTCGCCGCCTTCATGACTGCAGGCTTCAACGATATGCGCAATCTAATGGCCAATCCCTGGCGCATGGCCCTGATAAATATACTAAGACGCGCACTAAGTATCTACATATCGCTAGCAAAAAGCATCTTACAGTAGAAATTATAATATATTATGCCAATTCGTAAAAATACTACGCTTATACTATAATATAGAGAGAGAGAAGAGCAGAGCGAAGAGGAGAGAACGAGAAAGAGAGGAGAGAGACTCAGAGAGACAGAGAGAGAGAGAGAGAGACGACGACGAGACTGACTGAGACGAGAGAGAGAGAGAGAGAGAGTGTGTGACGCACCCATTTCTACGATTCTGACAACGTCTAGTTCATAATTACGTCGCTAATATACAGTCTAGGTGCGATATCCCTATATCCTATAATCCTGAAACCGTGAACACACGGCTTTTGATGTAGCAGTGTAAGCTCTTATTTATAGAAATAGAACCTTGTACGTGCGTGCGTCAGTAATGATCACGTATTACGGGTAACGTGCGTGTATGATTTGTGTGTTAAGCTGGCCATGTCTGCGTGAGATATAGTTAGGCATAGACTCTACTAGGTCTCCCTCTGTTAACTATGAGTTAGGTGCGCGTTAGTTTTCCGTACGGTGAGGTACAGTCGCGCTTAGCACGCATAAGCCTAAAGATCGGGGGGCCGTTGTCAGAAACATCGTAAAGTTAAGGCTAATATTAATATAATGTCATACGCTTAATAACTTGCGACTAATGTCAAGGTTACGAGAATAGCGCTGACAGAAACGCAAAAGAACCGTTACAACCGCGTTTAGCACGCATATGCTCTAAAGTTGAGCCAAATAAAACATTTCTGACAAGCAAACACCGATTTTTGACTTTCACATGTTCGTACGCGCCTAGACGGCGATATTTCTCGTTTCATTGACCCCCGTGGTATTTTTTGGCGGGTATATATTGCATGTTCGCGCCTATACATCGTCGCTCCGTGGTATTCTTAGGCGAGTATTGTGTGTTAATTCCCATCGTCGCTGCACGTGTCCGCTCAACCATTAATCATATACCGACTCGGTAAACGTCTGGCACGCGCTGCCAATCTTTCAAGTGGTTAACGAGCAGTCACTACGTGTTGATCGTTGGCGTTGCATGATGTCGTTGATGTTAGGAATGGACGCTCGCGTGGCAGGTAGCTAACTCTCGAACTAGTTAGTGCTAATTATGACATACGACAGTTCACAGTAACAGCGCACGTGGATCCGTGAAAGAAATAAACGTGAAAGGGAAATCGCCCGCTTGCCGCAATTTTTTAGCTAGATTAATCAAATGCCAGTATACTGAGTAATGCCAGGTACGAATTTAGACTGGATTTGCGAATTGACGTAAAACCCGTTGTGGGCGTTTCTCTGCTCTGACGATGACGGATAATCGGTACCTCTATTTGACCTTTTCGAGTTGCGCTGTGCGGATGTGGTGATTATAGCTGTTTCACTCTCGCATGAATGTCCCAACTCTCGTAAGCCGGTGTCGCTTACGCAAGCAAGCCGCCCCGTGTCCTTGGATCTCTTTGCGCAAAGTATTAAAACAGCTATCGGCGTACAACCTTTCTTATTTAGATCGGTGACCTCACTTCCACCTCGCAGTCAGAACCCCGTCGTCATTCTTAGCGCGTGCGTAATCTATTTATCCATCGGATCGCTCGTCAGTAATTTTCTCTTGGTATTTGAACGCTCAGAGTCGGAACTCGATTTTGTTGCCCAAATATGGCACACGCATGTAAGAAGGGCTACCATTGGTCAGAAGAAACCAATGGTAGTCCTTCTTACATG